TGTCGGCTCCTCTCCTCGCACCTCCCCGCTGCAGGGAAACCCGGAGATCCTTGCGAGGGGCATCCCCTGCCCGACGCGGTCCCCACGCCCCTTTGGAGGCAGCACCGTCACCTCGGGAGCGGTGCCCGTCCGTGAATTCGGGGTTCCCGTGTTCTGCAGGACGCTCCTGATGGGTTGTTATTATTTTTTTTTAAGGCAAATCTTCAGTCCGTTTGATGGTGGCTTTGATTATGTGGCAGACATCTTCGGTGTTCTCTTTATCTCGTTACTAAGCCAAAACCCCAGGAGCACCTTCTGTCTCCTCTCAGGGAGGAGGGCAGGACCGCAGGGCCTCGATGGCTGGGGTGGGGTTGGAGCCGAGGGCCACGGAGGTGTGCTGGCAAAGTGGTTTTCGCTAAATAAATGAGACGTAGAGCAAAATAAATCAGGTGGAGGATTAATACCTTTTATATTTGTTAGTCAAAATCCTGACTTACTCTTCATTAGTATGAATTCCTTTCGTTGATGGGAATGATGCTGTGGATACTTCACTTGCTAGAGTGATGTGGCATCAGATGTTTAAGAGTAACTGAAATAAAAATAGCTAATGCCTCACCGAGGAATCTTTTCTGTTCATGTATTTTATCTTCTCTTTTTAGGAAAGATTAGTGAATTTCTCCTTTAATACTTCAAACTCCTATTCAGAAATTGCATAAGAGAACACAAAACTGATTTTTATTTTGGGTCAGTTGGTGGTCAAGCATCTTCTCCGAGAGAAATGAAACGGATAATTTTTAATTTTTTTTTAAGAAGTTGCAATTGATTGAAGCCTAAATTCATCTGTTATTAAATCACAAACATGTAGTCAAAAACCGCAGAGGCTACCTGTGGATCCTTTCAAGTGTTTCTGTAGTAAAGTGAAACCTGGAGGTAACTTTCTGTGGGATACTAATGTGATCCCAACCTATTTTACTTTTTTTGGTTTGCTTGGTTATCAGGTTTCACTCATGACTCACAATGTACTAGTTAGTGTTTCATTTCTCCATTTATAATGTGAGAAATAAACGTTTTATTTATGCTGTCAGAATAGCAATCTTCGTTATGTGCTAGAAATTATAGATGAAGGAACATATAGATGGAGAATTCCAACACTGGATGTATAATAAAACTTTTTTTTTTCCCCTCTGCAAGAAAGCCATCTGTTGCAATCTGATAACAGCAGTGGTACCATAACTTGTATGAGATGTGGCATCTCACTAACGTATCTTACCACAGTTGTGAAAGTCACCTCGCCATTACCTAGAATGCACAAAACAATTTCTACATCATGGTAGAAGTTTAAAATCTATATTATAATAAGTAAAATCTTACCTGGTTATTTATACTGGGTCACCGCTTATTGTTTCAGAGTATCTCATTAGCTGATAGAGGATAGGAATTGGAAAGAAAATTCTTATTGTTGCTTGCAAGTATCCTGATTTGTGAGGACAATTGTTTTCAATTCCCATCCAGAGGACTGGGGTATATAAACTTTGTAGGATTGTGTAATATCTCTCTGCTTAGTTCCAGTGTAGTTTGGGTCAGAATAATCACTGGCTTGTCTTAAATCTCCAAAATACTTCAAGAAAGTATTTTCAGTAAGTTACCACACGGAATATTTTGGTATTGTATTAAATTTGAAAAGTCTTTGTTCAATTCTTAAAATCTAGTGTATTCCACTTGACTATTAAGAACTAAACTTGAGCCTGACACTGTACGTATACTTGGATTTTAGGATGTATTGTTTGTAGCCAATTGCCAGTGAAAAATGAAAATTCCTTAGCAATCATTTGAGTGTGTCACAGGTGAGTATTAGTAAAACTTAAAAGATATTCCTTTAGTTAAAATTTCACATTGTATTAAGCATCTAATAATAATCTTGATTTTAAAAAACCCTTAAGAACTGATTGAGAAATCATTGAACAAGTAATTATTTAGATAAGCCCGACAGTATTTTAAACCATTCCTCCTACACTCAAATGTTTTCCCTTTTCTAATGACACTTTAGAATTTTTACAGAGTTAGCTGGATTTCAGTTGTGGAAGGCAAGGGGTTAGGAAAAGTTCATTTCTAATTTGGATCACATCATCGCCTTCTTGTTTCAAAATGTGATTTTCATATAGGGAACTTGCCTAAATTTAAACTGTGGATTCATATTTTACGTATCATACCCATTAGTTTTTAGGTGGATGAGAGATCTCTATGTCAGTCACTTGCAGATGTATGTGTGTGTATTGTGGTGTGCATTCTTAAGCAAGTACCAGTAGTTTAAGTAGAAAAGTGTTATGGTTAAAATAACTGTGCTGTAAGATGCAGATAACTTTGTTACAGGAAAACACAGGCATTGCAGGAAATTCTAGGATCTCTGCTGTTGCCTTTAGATATTCTGTATCACTTTGAAATTAAGTAAAGGGTGGAAGACTGGATCTGCTCAGCAGAACTTCTTCTGACAAGGATGAGCATACACAAAATATCTTCATGTGCATGTCTTTAAAATTAATGTGATGATTTTCGTTTGATACCAAAGGATAGGATATAACCATGTGATAAGTAATTTGATGGATACTAGGCCTCATTCTGGAACACAAGTTGCATTTAGGAATGACATAGACAGGATAGATGCACAGATTCTGGGTGATTCTATGTCAACAGTCAAACTCATTCCAAGACTCCTTTGTCAATTTGGTTTTGCTTTATCCTAAAACATCAAGCAGAATAGAGTTATTTTTTATGACTGAAACTTCCAGGGACATAATAGTTTAATTTATGTTATATATATATCACTGTATTATACCAGCAATGCACACCTGCAGCACAGAATCGTACTTGCTCTGAAGAAACAGTTTTGATAATTCAGGCCATCAGAAGAGCAGAAATGGAAGAATAAAGTGTGCATGTGGTTTTAAAACTATGTTGGTGCAAAATCTTATAGTTTATGGCATTGTTGATTTAAGGTGAGTAACAAGGGGCAGGGTGAGCTGTTCCAAATACATCAAAAAGAAAGCTTGTATTAGTGTCTGCAGATCTTGGGGGAAGCTACCCCATGCTTGAGTTGCCCAGTCAGAGAATGTATTTTGGAGCAGAAGGGCCCACAAGCTGTACATAATCAGAGGGAACTTGGTGTTTCTGAGTGTACAAAGGAAATGTGCAACAAATGTGAGGTTTTTGATTTCTCTCTTCTCATGAGTGTTCAGAACAACCCATTTCATATAGGCAAACCAGAGTTTATTTTCAACTTTTTTTTTTTTTTCAGGAAAGTATGCATGCTTATGCAGCAAATGTCTACACATCTGTTGTAGAAGAGCTAATGAAAGGAAAGCAGCGCAAATTTATTGCTGTGGAGCAGGAATTCTTTCGACTTTGGTGGGATGCAGTAGCCACAGATACGCACAAGCAGCAGGTAAGTTGTACTAGAGCCATACTTCCTAACAAATAATCCACACTCCTTTCAGGGGGCAAGGAGGGGCAAAGTACTTCACCATTTGCTTTTTACCCAGCTCTTGTGTATGCTGTCTCTGGATCTGGTACTTCTTATGAAAGGACCTTAACTCTAAAGGCAGTTGCAAGAGGTTAAAACCCCAGCTACAGATTAAAGCAGTAGGCGGTAGTAACCTGTGCCCTGAAGACTCTTTGCAGTTCTTGTTTAATTGATAACTTTCTTATTTGGGAGCTAGTATGAGATGTGGGTGATTCTGAAAGAGACTACGCCAATGTCTGTTAAACATTTGAAGCTTATAAACTGGTGCCTAACACTGCTTACAAGAAGGAACCTTTTCTCTTTCAAGTTAAGTACTACTCAGAAACCTGCCATTTGTAAACAAGGATAATGCAGCAAAGAGGTGACTGTAGATTCAACAGCAATAATTGTTTCTTGGGTTTGTTTATTTATAAGCTGAGATCCCTTTCAGTCTTTAGAACTTTGATTTGAGGATTGTTTTTTCCTAGTAATGATATTGTAAAGTTTTATTTGTCAGTTCTTTCCTCTGGCATGCTGAAATCAAAGGCTGGGCTGGTAGCCTCGTAGCTGGTCATGTGTTGCGTCACAGTGCAAAATGTTTTAAGTTTTAGACCCTAAAACCAGAGGATATACAGATGAAGCTTCACATAGGTACTCACTCAGAACAACATGGTCTGTTTTGTTACCAGGGTCCAGCCAACAGCAGCATATTGCATGCAGTACTTCACATTTCAGTTCGTTTAAAGTGCTAGATGTTTAAAGCGTCATGTAAAAAAGACAGTTCTTATCTGTTTGGTTTTTGGGGTTTTTTTTAGCCTAGTCCTTCTTAAGTTCAGCATTTTCTGCAATGTTTAGTATTTAAGTAACAGCTTACAACCTGTGTGCAGCTAACTTTTATATGAGAGGTTTTGCTGTGTATAGACGGTTCACTGGTTTTGTGGGGGAACTTTGCCCATACTTACCTGTTGTGGGATGATTTTCTTGTCTGTTTTTAATTAGAAAACTGTGCTGTAAGTCTGGGGTGGGGGAATTAAAGGTCATAGCGTAGGAACTACTTTGTGCAGGGACAGAAGAGTACTCTCACTTTCTAAGGTAAGTTGATCTTTATTCAAATATCTTACGCTACTGTAACCCAAATATAAAGGCCCATGTTTCTAATATCCTTGCTATTATGTGGAATCCAGAAGAGTAAACATGTATCACATTTGACCTCAATAGTCACACATGTAGATTAGTACACATGATTCAGCCTTTAATTTCCTAGCATAATTACTGATAATTGTTGCTTTTATGCATTTTTAGTCAGTTCTCTAGTTGCTGACTAAATATTAAAATTATTAAAAACAAATTCCTCTTAAATGTATGTGTCAAACATTTAATCTATAATAATATTTAAGAGCTCTGATGCTTGCTGATAAGTGACAGGTTTTTAACATTAGCAAGTTGCAAATATTGGGCCCTGAAATTAGGTCACTCTGATTACTGTCCTGCTTTTTCCACTTGAACTCTAGCATTAATGATTTTCTGTAGTACAGGCTCTCTGGTTTTAATTTTGCCTTTTTTTTTTTTTTGCTTAATTTAGTATTTTACTTGGAATACAAGATTTAATTCTAGTTTCTCTTGGAATGTTTGTTTTGGATTAGAGTGGTAGTATTAAAAACTAGTAAAAGGTACAGCCTGGGAACTGAAGCTGATTCTACACTTCAGATAAGAGACTATATAGTATAAAATGTATTGCAGCAGTATTCAGCCAGATGTTAACCTCTTAGTTCTCAGTCCATGTTATTTCCATGGTATTTTCTTGTGTGAAACATTCCTATTGCCGTACACTCTGGTTTGATGTCTGAGTGTTTTAACTAGGGGAAAAAAGATGTGTAGTCACTTTTGTGTGGTTTGTAGGGGTGAGCTGATGGAGGAATAATAGTAGTTGTCCAAAGGACCACAGATGTGTTCTACTGCCATAGCAGCATGCTGCTTGTAGTACTGCTGTGTCTGTTTCCTGGGTTCTTCCTTCTTTTTGCCCAGTTCTGGTCAGCAAAAGTGCTTGTCATTTAGAGATCTTATTTTCTTTTTCTTCTAGGATTGGATGTTATTTAAATTACTTGAATTATTTTTCTTGTGCTTCCAGCCTCTCAGTGTTTCTACAAAACTTACATTAAAAAAAATTTCCATGGGCTAAAGTTTGGATCAGAGGTATCTTTTTTGGACATCCATCCAAATGGGGAATAATAGCCACAGATGCTTTTCATGTAGGTCAGGACCAGTTCTGTGCTGACACCAGATATCAGTTATCTAGTCTCCCAGCATGCTAATCAGTCACCACAGTCGTCTGGAACTAATTTATGAATGCTGAGCCCTGAAGCGTTTTCACAACATTGTGAACGAGAGAAATGATTATAATCAAAATTGACAATCTGGCATCATATCTGAGCAGACACAGGGGCATTCACTGAAGGTTCCCGGGGAAATAAACATAATAGCTTGGCTTTGGCTTCCTACATGACAGACTAAAAAAAAAATGTGGAGATTAAAATACATATTTATACAAACTTTCTTTGTTGGGAGTTTGAGTCATCTTTGAAGTTCTAGGTAGTGAAGTAACTATAATAAAAACAGAAGACTCCCAAATGCTTCTAGAAAGGGACACAAACTATTCCTTTCTTCCAGACACCATCCACACCCTTCATCCACCACATTAGCTGAAAGCTGTACTTGTCAGCATACTTCTTGTTTCTAGTGGCTGATACATATTTAAAAAAAACCCCAAAACTAGAAAAACCTTGAATGGTTTAATAGGTCATAATATATTGACAGTTTTTGAACTAGGAAGAAAGAGACCAGAAATGAAGGTTAGCAGTGGGTTTATCAGGCAGGCAAACCTGCTCCATGTGGAATTACTGTTTCTTAGTGAAGCATTCTGTCTCTCACAAGGTGAACAACCTGTCCATGCTCTGAAGGCAAGGTAGAAGCAGACAGAGTAGAAGGGATGTGTTTTTGGCCACAGTGTGATGACATGCTCTGTCTCCCTCCTGGATCCCACTGATCTCAGTCTCCAAACTGTTACAGAGGTAGAAGACTAAAGCAAACCCTGGGAGCTAGCCTGCCCATGTGGGTTTGCATGTTCCCCTCTCATCCAGCCACCCAGTGCATTTCCTAACCTAAGGCAAATGCAGCAGGAGGAAGACTAGTATCTTCTGTTTTAATCCTCCAGCTCTAGTTGCCTTGAGGCAGGGATCTAGGCTGCTGCCAGTGCAGTGTATGTGGACAAGTCTGGTGTTTAGAGGCACAGTAACAGCCCTGCTGAGAAACACCAGGTCAGGCTCTACCTGGCAGTGCATCCTTTGTGCCTGCTCCCTGGTTTCAGGGTAAGCTGGGTATACTTTTTTCCCCTTCCTCTCCTTTCTATAGAACTCAGTACAGACAGCCTTTTATACCACTTTTGTCCTGGATGCCTTCTTGACAAGTGTTGTGTCTAGATAACATGTTGTCATCTGAAGTGAATTTTCAGCCTTTTTGGATAAGACTGAAATGGTGTTTATGTTCTGTATCTTAATTTCAATATCATAGGTCCATCAGTTGCTTCAGGAGGGACGACTGGAATTTGTCATTGGAGGGCAAGTGATGCATGATGAAGCTGTGACACTAATTGATGATCAAATTTTACAGTTGACGGGTATGCATATTTGCATTTAACTTTTATTTTCAATTGTTATGACCTTGGGGGGTTTTGTTTGTTTTTTATTTCTCCACCACAAGTTTGCTATTATTTTCTTACTCTTTAAGAACTGATTGAGGCATCTTTTATTTTTTACTTGCTCATGAGTTATCTGTATAAAAATCTTTGCTTAAAAAAACCCCAAAACTACCACACAACAGTTCTGCAGTAAGCAGAAGGGTTACTGAAAGCTGGCTTGCAGTTTAATCGATGTCAGCTATAAACTTCTTCAGAGCAGAGGCCTTTTTGTGTGTGTGTGTGTGTGTGTGTGTGTGCGTGTGTGTGTGTTTGAGAGCTTAAGCTCCTGGGAAAATAGTCAAGGTGAAATTGAGGGTATGATATGCTCTGGAAGAAAATACCTGGTAGCAATTCAGAGTGTGGGGAGGTTGTATCATTCAGGCAAAGACTTCTGCAGAAGGTGGGCCGTAGAATGTCACTGAGGTCGTCTGAACTTAGTTGAAAGACTTGCTTGATGAACAAACTCCCATTTGTAATCATTATCAGCAGCCTCTGATAGAAACAGATGCATATTTCCAAGAGATACACTATTTCCCATTTTAATCTAGCTTGTACTTGCAGCCATTTGTATGTTACACCTCTCCATCTGATGCTTTAAAGAGTCTTTCAGTATTTGGGTTTATCTCCATCTGGTTAATGACAAAAGAAACAGGATAAATCATGCCACCACTGTGCTATAGGTTCCTGTAATATGGCATGAGAGAGTAGTATGCTTTTTTGGGGCAGAAGGGGATGTATGAGCACCAGCTGTCTGTTGTGGCTGATAGAAACCCTGCCCATTTCAGGGCTAAACTCTGGGCAGCTTTCTACACGGGAGAGTAAAGGGTCAGAAAACACTTCTATCATTTGCCAAATCTGACTGTGCAGCACCGCTGGCCTTGTTCCTTGCTTGTCAGTGTTTATCAGGAGCACAGGGATAGCAGCTGCTTTTGCATCTCAGTGAGTCACCACATCACACTCTGGCCAAGAGGAGGAGGGGGAATGAATTTTTTTTTCATCTGATCTGACTCCTGTGTTTAAAGGTTGTTATATGGACTTAGTACACCAAACCCAGGACTTCTCCAAAGAAAAAACTAATATTGACTGCAGAATCCTTTTTTTAAATGCAAATACAGCTTTTTCTTTCGTTTGAGTTAGCTGCAAAAAAACATTATTTCTGATTTAGTATTTAATTCTGTGGTTTTGTTTGTTTTGTTTTTTTTTTTAGGAAAATTCAAATTTGGTAATTTATTCATCAGGAACGAAAGTATTAATATATTTTAAAATTCACATTTATTTTTCCTGAAAGCATTCTGCTCAGTTTAAGTATTAGTATATACAAACAAACAAAAAAAAAAAAGTATCCTTGCATTGTATGTGGAGTTTGTTTTGTGAAGACAAAGCCAGTGCAGACATTTGGGGTCTACCTTTCATGTCTTCTCCTGTGTGTCCAGCCAGCTGTGTTTTGGAAAAGCCTAGCAAACTCTGCCTAAACTGTGCTTCAGTCAGGAGAGTTAAAATAAACACATTATTTGTGAATATTTTCTCTAGAGAAGACATTAACCATGGGAAAGATTAATTGAAAAGATATGCCTTGCAACCTCGGTTATTCAAATGTGATATTGAAATCTAGAATGGAGTTAGTCCAAAATGGGGAAGATACGATTGTATTTTCAAGCAGTTCTGAGCACAATCCCAGAACTATGAAATTAATATCTGCCCTATTTTTTTTTTTTTTTTTTTATGATGAGGATCCTAGTGCAATATACTGAAGTTCTGAATAACCACCTACTGCTTAGGTGGTTGTTTTACTTTCATTTAAATGGTTTGTCTGAGTTTATTCTATTGTCTGGTCTTCCTGGTTTGGGAGTTTCTTTTTTTGAAACCAATTTCAATGTAAAATTAATAACATCAGTTGTAAATAACATCTTGTACCAATATTGCTATTAACCTTTAGCTTTTTTTCTTTTTTTTACAATTGAGGATCGTATTCATATTAGTTTTATTTACTGAATGGCTTCCCTGTCCCGTTGTCATTGATATGAGACTGAAATTTTCTGAGAATGGGTAGTGTGATTTAGGCAAATGCAGACTAAAGCCCAGCTTGTTGTTTTCATGCAGACTCCAACCTGGCTATTAGCCTGTATGTCAGTGCTTTTTCCCAGACCCGTCTCTAATCATAATTCCTTTTTGTTATTCATCTTTTATGATGTTAATAAGTTATATTTGGCATAGCAAAATAAATATTGTCAGTGTGAAACTTTCTGCTGTGAATCATGAAATTCCTGAAACTTTAAATGCTTTGGAAAACAGCAACAAAGAGCTATCCTTTAAGTGCTTATCTGTAATATTATATGCCTATTAATTTTATAAAATGAACTTGTAAAAGTGTTCCTAATGTAAACAAATTTTGTTTTGCAGAAGGCCATGGATTTTTGTATGAAACTTTTGGGATCAGGCCTCAGTTTTCTTGGCATGTTGATCCTTTTGGAGCTTCAGCTACAACACCGACTCTTTTTGCTCTGGCTGGTTTTAATGCTCATCTTATTTCTCGGATTGACTATGATCTGAAGGCTGACATGCAGAAAAACAAGGTAAAAATACTCTTAGAAATGGAACTAGTTGCCAGCCTCTACTTAGATTAATATAAACCATGACATTAAGATGAGCATCCCTCTGATCTGTGTGAGCAAATGTAGGTATTCCTCCTCTAAAAGTGACATGCTAATTGCATGTGGTAATAGTGAAATGTATTAAATCCATGTAATATGGTCAGTAATGTCTTCATGAGTTATCATCAAGGATCAAATATAGTCTAGCCTGAAGCTGCCCAAAATCTGGGCAGCTGAGCAAGGCATAAGTGGACACTGAATTGGGAGTGTTGGAACCAGACACATCTAGAATGGGTTTCAGCTTGAGAAAAGCTTAGATACATTGGTTTTTTATAGACTGTTTTAAAGTGTATAGTGTGTATGTTTGGGCACAGTGGTTGTCATGCTTGGAACATTTATTTGTGCCTGTAAAAGTGATAATATTAGGTCAGTTAGGGTGGCAGCTAATAATTTTTTTAGAGTTCAGTTTTTGTTGAATGGTTTGCCTTCTCTTGCACAGTGTCCCATACACAATAAATGTTTTAAATGTTTTTCTTTCCATATCACAATGTTGGACCCTGATCTGTCATTACTTTTACACACTACATTATGTGAAAATAAAGGACTTTCACTCCTGTGAGCTGGGCATTAGGCAGTTTTTATGGAACTTGGGTGAAACTCAAGCATCTCTGAAGAAGACAACAGAATTCCTCTTTAATTTGGTGAAGGCAGAAACTACCACCTTAAGTTTGTAGCAGATTGCGATTTTTCCTTCCTGCTAAAGTCTTTTATGAGCTTTTGACAATCTTTTCCTATCTTTTTTTTTTTTTTTTTCCCCCCTGGCACCTTCAGTCTGTAGGCTTCCAAAACTGTAAGAATTCTGTTTCAGTTGATTAAACATTGATTTCCACTGACTACAGTGCAATCTAGGCTACATCTGGATCTTTCCTAGTTTATAGGTGTTCAACTTCCACTGAAACAAGTGAGGTGTGATGCCTGTGATAAGTTAGGCTTACATCTGGATTTTAGCAGTATGCTGATAGTGTGCTGCCTCGTCTCCCTGTCCATCAATTCAAATAGAAAGAGGCAACACTATAACCTCCTATATATGATATGTGACCTTGCTTGGGGTACCATTGGCTGGTATTAAGCACTTAAAGTATTACAAGTGATGGAAGAGGGGATGGACACTCTGAAATCTTAAGTTGTTAATGATGGTATTTCTCTGCTTGTCATCAAGGATAACAATTTCTTACCTTTTTTGTTTTCCAGAAGCTTCAGTTTGTGTGGCAGGGCTCTCCTTCCTTATCTGAAAGACAGGAGATCTTCACCCATGTTATGGATCAGTACAGCTACTGTACCCCATCGCAATTACCTTTTTCAAACAGGTCTGAAGGTTTCCCAAATAGGCAGAAATATTGATAACTTCTGAGAGTTTATGTTGTTGGAGTTTAAGCATTTTCTTTGACTGTTTTATTTCAACAGTATTCTACTGCTTTCTCCTGACCTGCAGTAGGTCAAGGAGATGTCTAGACTCTAGATCTGAATCAGGATTATTAAGCATCCCCAGCTACCCACCATAATACATGAAGTCTGCTCAGTACCTAACAATTGAATGCTCAGAAGTGACGCTTAGTACTGACAGGCATTAAAAATACTTCAAAATATTGACAGACTTTAAAAATAATGTTTTCTAGCACTAATAGGCTTGGAGCACAGGTATGGCTTTCATCTACATATATATATATGTGTGTGTATATATATATATATATATATATAATGTCAGTCCTTATCAAAAAAATACAGACTAAAAATGTGAAACAAATCAATTGCTATTATCAGAAAATGTCCAAAGGAGTTTTTGTTTCTCTGCCTGGGAAGTTAAGATTTAGAAACTCCAGGAAGCTCAGTATTGACTTGGCTATTGCTAATTGATTTTCTATGGGAGATTTGCAGCATTATATTGTGCTGAGATTTTGTATATTATCTGTGTATAAACTGAAGCAACTAAAATTTTCCATTCACTTTGTGAAAAAATCTGAGAGCTTTTGAAAACTTTATTTTGCTCACTGTCTTATCCAGTAAAATACTCTTTGTAAATGAAGTCTACTTGGGGGACATCCTCATTGTTACAAAGCTTACTGTTTTGTGCTGTGGTTTCTTTGTTCTATGCCAGCATGCAGCAGGGACTTGGAAAGTTGAATGGTGTGAACAGAAAACTGGACAACCTTCCCCCTACATCCACCCCCAAATAAGCACTAAAACTGAAATATTAGCAATTAATATAAACTGATTTTTTTTTTGCTTCTTACTCCCTATGTGTCTGCATTTTATCCCAGTACCTTTTGATGTGTTTTTCCCAGTTGCATAGATCCTCTTTATAGCCTGTTGCTTTCTCCTTCTACTTAGATCAGGATTTTATTGGAACGGATTTGCAACTTTCCCAGATCCACCAAAAGATGGTGTTTATCCAAACATGAGTCTCCCTGTTACAGATACCAATATCCATCTGTATGCACAAACCATGGTGAAAAACATTAAGGAGAGAGCAGCCTGGTTCAGAACGGCTGATGTTTTGTGGCCTTGGGTAAGTGCATGATCAGCATTTGCTTGAGAAGTGGCGAGTGCACCTACAGTATGAGCAGTAGGTAGATGGTACTTTGCTACAGTATGTACTGCAAAAATGCAGGTACAAACCACATGTCAGTAAAGTGTCTTTCTAATAAGTGGTGCCCAAATGTCTGATTAGGAATGATTTTTTAAAACTAGAACTATCTTGTGCAGCCTGCCAGCTGTGCAGTCTACCAAGTCTTCCACTCTATATAGAAAGAAATGTGACAAAATTATAAAGATAACCTCTTGCAAAACTATGTATTGCAATATTGCTTCCTTTTTTTCCTCTCCTTGTTTTGTCTGTTTAAATGAGCTCTTTACATAACTGCTTAGCATATAATTCTGTGTTAACAAAAAATGTAACATTACAAGAAAATTTGTTATGCATTAGGTAGACAAGGTCTTTTTTGACTGATATGTAATCATTTTCTTACACAGTCTTTGTATTCTAGTTAGAAACATTAGTGTATCCCAGCTTGGTCATCCAAACACTTTTTGCAGCAGTATGCTGTGTTAATTACATCCTACACGTACACACAGCACTGATATGCTCTCTCTATTTTTAAGTCCTTAGAAAATAACAACTTTTCCTAAACTGAATGTACAGTCTGGTTTTGAATTTTGTTGAATGCTGTAGGTCATATGATAATTATGATAACACACATCATTCTTTAATATCATAATTATGATAATAAAGAATGATGTGTGTTCTTAATGTGGCTGTTTAACCACAAAATCTGTTGTTGCAAAGAGAACAAACACTTTCTGGCTGATGCAACTTTGAGTCATGGGATTTGTTTTTTTCCTGTGTTTGTGACACTGTTGCTTATATTTATTTTTTTTCTTTGTAGAGGTTGAGAGGAGAAGTGGGATATAACACTCTGTAGTAGTGCTATAGTGAAAGTTATGCTGGAAAGGTGAGGAGGGAGTTGGAATAGTACAAATAAATTCCAAATGTATAGATACAGACCTGCAGTTTTGCAGTAATGTAAGAAAAATTCAGTCTCTGACTTCCTGATTTGTGTGCTTGTGATAATGAGCTTTAAACAAAGTAATAGAAGTTTGTTACTCATCTGGATCATGAGCTGAAAGTAGTGCTTTATAAATATGAAGTAGTTTTGACTGGTAAATGTATTACTTCTTCCCCAAAAATGTAATTGGAGTCAACATTAGGAAGTCTCGTTTGCACTTACTGACGCACTGTTTGGTTTGATAGGTTTTGGTAGCTCGTGCCAGTTTGAAGTTGTTTGCCAGTTTCTGCTATATGCATACAGAAGATCTCTGGGTATCTCAGAAGAACTTTTCTGTTTTGGAAGTAGAATTTCCACTGTTATGATCAGTAACTTACCCTCTTAGATCTGAGGGACAGGCACGTGCACCAGGATTCATAAAGGATGTGTATTTAAAAAGCCTTAGTAAATGGGGATGGCACTCATACCTGGGAAAGAGAGGGGAGAGTAATCACCTCCGAGTTCAATTGAACCCATCAAGTTCAGCTCATTCATGAGTTGAATGGGTTCAGCTCATCAGGTTAGGCTTCTTGAGCATATCGGGTAAGGGTTGAGTGGAAGATGGGATTGCAAAGAAAATAGAGCCTCCTTGGCCATTTCTTCAAGCATCTGCTAAGCTTTGAAGGCAAATTGCTGAGAGCATCTTTATTTTGAAAATGAGATCAGGATTGACTTGTGCAGTGTTTTCTATCTTGAGCACTGAGACATGAAGATGAGGGTGCATTAAGGGGGTGTCACTGTTGTAAGGCTTCAATTAGGCCTTTTTATGTGAAGAAAGTTTCTTAGCATGTTATTGTGCTTCAGATCAATGTGTATACTGTAATACTGATACTGTACACGTGGTGCCATGGCTGACTGACCCTCCTGTTCCTGTTCAGCTGTTGTAGTTGAACAAAGGTGTGATTAGTTATGCCTTTTTTAGAATGTTTGTACATGCAGATAGTCTGTATTGAGATACCTTCAACAGAAGGCGGAAGTTGTGCAAGCATGCTAAAAAAAAAAGAGGTTTATCAACTCTCTTAACTATTTGGCTGAGCATCAGAAGTACTATAGTCTACTGTGGTGATGGGGCATCAGCAACACATTGTGTGACATTTGTACTACAGGGCTCTCTGTCCAGATTTGTTTCGCATCATGTCCTCAGCACTTCCTGTAAGCATCTTTAAGAGCAGAAAATAAGAGCTCCCTTATTTTCTGCTAAGTAGGAGAAATGCAGTGTGAAAAGAAACAAAGGTCATCTTTCCAGGCGTTTATGCATGCATTTTCCAATTGCTGCCACGAAATTTCATGCCCTTTCACAATATGGTGTGTCAACACACTTCTCCCTAACTGTAATGCTGGTTGGTTATCAGCTGATTTGTGTGAGTAACCCTACCCATTCTTGACATTTTGTAACAAATAACTTCTAGATGGGCAATCAAGATCAAAAGAAATACCACTTTGACAAAGACTAGTGTTGAAAAAGGTTCTTCTAAGTTACATGACCCAAAGTCATTTGGCTGTTCTGGTTTTGGAATTTCAGGGCTGTGACAAGCAGTTCTTCAATGCATCTGTTCAGTACTCCAACATGGACCTGTTGTTGAATTATATTAACAAGCATTCTGAGGAGTTTGGAGTGACTGCCCAGTATGCCACTGTTGGTGATTACTTCCAAGCAGTTTATAGCAGAAATCTTACATGGGAAATTCGGGACTCTCGGGACTTTCTTCCATATTCAACAGGTAATTAAGTCTGCCTCAAATGTATGTATTTAAAATTTTAATAAAGGGAAATTGAGAAAATGAGAAATAAAGTAAGAGGAAAAACATCATCTCCTTATAATGTTTATTTAAACTACCAGCTGTCATCAAACAGACAAGTCGATCCCAACTTAGTGGTATAAGAAAGATGGTAGGGCAGTGGTTGGAATATGTCTTTGGAACGATTGAAAGCAATGAGTAGAGGAAGAGACCCTCAAAGAAAGAGTATAGGAACAGGCAAACTTGGCAAAAAAAATCTAACTTGAGGTTTTTGTTTTGCTGTCTTTAAATAATAACAGAGTGCAAAGGAAAGTTAAGCACAAGGTATATTCATGTGTGCAATGTCATCCGAATTTTTTTGAATGACCTGAAGAACTATGCAGGTACTGCACTGATCAGGTTCTGCTACAGTGAGCAATGAGATAAATCTGTAAGCCTAGGCCACCTGGCTGAAATTCAGTAGGATATTTCAGTTGATGGATGAAAGAAAAAAAGACTACAAAGTATGTAACACACTGAACTGGTTAGCAGCCAGAAGTGATAGCAGAGATGCTTCACAGAAGGGTGCCAGCACAACTAATACAAGAGTTCTCTCATGACGCTGGAGAGGTCCTGTCTGAACTCTCTGAAGCTGAGATCCTAAGACTCGTTTTGCATCAAATATAGATTTTGACTATTTGTTTCATGTTTGGACATTTAACTTGGAATTCATTATTTTCTCTGCCTCCCACATGTTAGCACGCACAAATAACCTGTAGTCTCCTAGGTGGTTTTAGATGTTCATGTTAGACCTCTCCTCCTCTTCCCCAAAAATGAGCTGTAGTAAGGATTCTGTGTTCCAGGATCCATGGATCCAAAAGGAAAATGATAAACTGAAGGATAACCTAGAAACAGATGGATACATGGCTAAATAGAGCCATGTCCTGTTGTTACTGTTTAGAAGAACTGGATTATGCATAGATTGGAGCAGAGACAGGAAACATGATATCAAGTTATCTATGAATGTCTGAAGGAGAAGCAAGGCAGGTAACCAGGGGACCAAGGCAATCTGAAAGCACAGTTGAAGAGTACTGATATGAAGATAAAGATATGAAAGAAAGCATGCCATACTCAACATTCCATTAATCCTTTTCCCCAGAAAATTTCCCCTTTTAGGCCTCATATGGAAGTATGCAGAGAGAAGACATAGCTAACTCCTCAGTTTCTAAACTCATTAATTTTTTTCATTGCCTGGATTGTCATTGAAATATCATTAGTATCATTAAAATACCTTTCTATATAATTGTAGCTATCCCTACATCATCACATTTTTTGCCACTGTGGATGTATATCTCAGACTATTACAACCCAAATTTAGCTTATATATCCAATATTCTGTAATGTGTCTGTTAACTTTTAAATTAATACAAATAACTATTGCTTCCTGTGAATCATTGCATGGACTGATCCCTTGCTCACCTCCCTCTAGGGATCATGTCATATCTAACAACTTGCTGATAAATGCACTGCCAGTTTTAAGTGCTAATATCCTTTTACATCTGGGCTTTTACCTGTATCTTTTGGCATAATTTACAGGCAGTAGTCGATTGCCATTAGCTTGCATAATAGCAGCACCTTCAGTGTTCTAGGTGGGTGCCCACACATCGATGCAATTTCTTCCCCAAACGACTTACTGTGCCTTGCAATTGCAGTATAGGTTTGAGTGCACTTTCTCCCACATACTGTTTTGCTTCTTGATGATTAATCCTCTCTCATTCTTTCTATGCCATTCTGTTATGAGTCATTTATTGGGCTCAGTGTCACATCTGACATATGCCTTGGAAACTGAAGTTTTAAGTCACAGATAATTATTTCCTTTTTCTACTCTACATTCATTGTACCGTACTAGTATGCGTATGTGACTCTTCTGCTTGTAACCTTGAAAACTGAAATGGAATTCATTCTGTTTGAACTTCTATCATTTTTCAGGCCAAAATGAATTTGTCCTGGAGTTTTTGAGCAAAAGATCCCATTTTCTAATTGTTGTCTTTGATCCTAGGCTGATAGCAAATTGTTACGGTTGCATATATGGACTTCATAAAGCACTTCCTGCAACTTCTTTTTGGAAAAAGTATTTATCAGTGGTATATTTAAAAAAAAATTCCCCAAAAACAAATGAAAAAAACCCCACACTAAGTAGAGATTTGGAGGTTTAAAAAACAACTGTTTTCCTAGTTTACTCTAGGGATGGATACTGGAACATAGTGCAAATTAACTGTTGAAATACTTTCCACTGACCACTTGAGGGCATCTTTTGATGTAGTTTGAAGTGCTGCAGTAGTTTGGAGTCATGTTATCACATCCATGTTTGAACTCCATTTTGAAGAAATGAAATTTAAGGTAAATCTCTTTCACTAAAAGGCGGGAATGTAGAGAGCTTGTATCAAGCAGTAACCAAGGATTATAATCCACTTTCTTTATTAATAATTAATAAAATATGCTTCAGTGAAGCTTTAAAGTTGTTTTGTGCAGATCCACAAAGAAGAAATTTCTGCAAACACAGGTTAACTTAGTCGATAACGGCTTTGTATCAACACGCACGTTGCTAAGCCCGTACGAGAGATTGTAGTTTTCCAAAGTGCGTGTTTAGTGCTGTGTTTCTTTCTAGGGCATAGGACTTGATTTGATGGCTGATGTGTAAACCCACAGCAGGTTTCACCTAAGAAGCTGTACAGCAGTAGTCTAATAAATAACAAATAAGTGATAACTGATACAGTGTTTTGTCATGTATTGGGTTTGTTCAACTCTTAACAGAGCCATTTCAAGCATGGACTGGTTTTTATACTTCTCGGAGCACATTAAAAGGAGTTGCAAGGAGAGCAAGTTCACTGCTTTCTGCTGGAGAGTCCTTTTTCACACAGTATGTCCGGAAACACCCAACAAGTTCTATTTGCAAATGTGAAGCCTTAAAGCAGCTTCAGAGTCTTAGATGGGCAGTTTCAGAGGTAAAGATTGGTTTATTTTTAAATCTGAGTGGAAGGCTTTTTTGCTCAAAGGCAAAGCTTTGCTTAAGCATTTCAGCTGGACTGTCATGAGGCTGCTTTTATGTTTTTAGAAATAATTTTCCCCTTTAGCAAGTCACAAGTAAATATAAAGCAATTTTTTCAAAAATCTGTCTTGAAACGTGACTTCAGCCCCTTAGCCATGCATTCAAGACATGGTTACTGGCAAATGTTTTCTTCAGCTGGTAAGAGAGTATGGTTTCAAATGTTGCACATGAAGTTCCTTTTCTTAATGTTAGTTTTATTATTTGCAAAATGGTTTTAAAAAATAAAATAAACAAACCCTGAACTAACTGAAAACTATTTCTGCAAGTTAGAAGAGGAAGGGCAGATTTGTTTCTTCAGAGTTCATCAGCTAAGTGATCGGCCTCATACCATTAACCATTTACATGCCTCAGTACTTTTGCTGGTAATTATTTTGTCAGCTAAGTTATTGACCAGATCTTAATAGGAAACGAAAAACCTGTTTTGTTGTGGTATTTTTGCTGCATTCTTGTGTTTGCTAACTTGTAATTTTTTTCCTCTAAGTATGTAATGTTAGTAATTTCTAAGTATTAAAAGAGGAATATGTATAGAGGGAAATGTGTGTGCATCTTGTCTTTCACCTTTTCATTCTATATAAAACAATTTGGAATAGGCAAAATGTGAATCTGTGAATATAGCTGTAATACCTTATTATTTTAAGTTATATGTCTGAAGGTTAGTGGACCATGTTAATACAAATGCAAACCTGATGTTGTCATCCTGTTGCATTGTGACCTTTCAAACTATTCTTAAATGTAAGGTCCAGCACCACGACGGTATAACAGGCACAGAGTCTCCCAAGGTGAAGGACATGTACATGAATAACTTGATGTATGGAATGTTCAACGTAAAGAAGCTAATGGCTTCCATAATCTTTGACATGAACAATGCGAAGAAAAGTGGAGAGGTCTATTCTTCTGTATACAATAAAGACTCAGGAATACCAGGTATTTTTTAACATAGCTTTTCCAATTTTCAGGCTAATTTATGAAAGCTATCATGTTTCTTCCAAAACAGTCCGCATACTATGTACCACCTAAGTTCGGTGAACCATGGCTGGAAAATACTGTTTGCCTTATGAGACCTGCTAGACCTGGGGCAAAATTTATGAGCTCTTGGTTCTCAAACATCTGAAACCAGGACCTTTAAACTGATGTTAGGCAGAGCCCTTCCCTAGTGCATGCATTAGACCCAGCTCCCAGATTCAGACCTTGACTACATAATGGAGGGGACGAAGAGGTGCTGATTGGGATAATTACTAAACTAACCTTACTATGCAATATAAGATTGCATGTTAATAATTAGCACATTCACAGTTAAGAAATGTTCTTGCTATAGTGTACTGCCAGCTTATGTAAAAAATGTAAAGGAATTTTTAAGGAGTCTATTCTAGAGACTGTACATTCCCTTTTATCTTTACTTTGGAAACTTTTTAAACTGTCAAATATAAGTAGTACTGTGGGCTGCACAACAGTCTGACTTAGTTTTTTACAGTTGTTTTTAGATTGTTTCTCATTTGATCTTCTGTATAAATCTGATAAAATTAATACTGCATGTCAATGAGTTGTGGTAAGCTGCTTATTTTCACTATTTTCTGAATACACAGTCTCATTTTATTGGGTAAAGAATGGAAGAATAAAGCAGAAGAGGCTTTTATGAAGTACTATAAAATGTTTTCCTTTTTTCAATCATGAAATTTTACTGCAGGGTTTTATGTTACAATTGTGTAAGATGGTCATACCTGTATGGATCTCTCAACTATTTTTTGATAGCACATTTTAAAAATATATAGTTTTAGTGACTGATAACTTGCTTTGTGTGCACAAAGGTGCTACAGATGTTGACCAATATGTTGTTGTCTATAATCCACTGGCATGGAACATCACTACCTTTGTCACGGTTTCTGTCAGCCATTTGGAAATAAGTGTGTATGATGAACTGGGACATTCTGTACCAGCACAGGTATTTAAACTTTGTTTCTTTCTGTTGCTTTTCTTTCACTTGTCAGTTTTCAATGACTCGATCCTACCTGCTGTCAAAGTGTGGTAATATATAGTATTACAGTGAAAACAAGTATTTGTTCAAACTGGGATTTTCCTAGTCCTCCTTCAAGTGATTTTTTTTTTTTTAACTTGCCTGTTCTCTCAACTAGATTTTTTTTTTTTTTGTCTTAATGTCCAAAAGGGCTTCCTGCTCTTCTAGTGTGTTTGGTTTGTCCTTTGCATGCCCCTGTGTGTGACCTGGCACTTTTTATCTTGCTTCTCTGTAGAAAACACTGTTTCAAATAGAGCCTTTTTGATTGATGCCCTGCCCTATGATTGACAGCCCTATTTGTACAACTGACAGATTGCCTTGGGGAGGACAAGAGATTTGGTAAATGTAGGTCTTATTTACAAGCCCAAAAGAAACTGGGGACAGTCAGCTGCCATACTACCTGAAAGGAGCTTGTAGCAAAGTGGGTGTGGGTCTCTTCTCCCAAGTAACAAATGATAGAACAAGAGGAAATGGCCTCAAGTTGCACCAGGGAAGGTTTAGATTGGATACTGGGAAAAATTTCTTCACTGAAAAGGTTGTCAAGCATTGGAACAGGCTGCCCAGGGAAGTGGTGGAGTCACCATCCCTCAAGGTATTTGCTTAGGGACATGGTTTAGAGGTGGACCTGACAGTGTTAGGTTGGACTTAATGATCTTAAAGGTCTTCTTCAACCAAGATTCTATATGACGTATCATTCTGTCATAGCCATGCTCCAAGATAAGGCCACCTGTTCCCTGGGAGAGAAGAAAGTAACCTCAAATGAAAGCTAGCACTAGCCTCTCTCAACAGCATCTGCTGTAGAGAGTGCATCATCACCAACGGCTTGATAAACCTGTAGGAATGGCTCCTGCAGGTAAGGTCTGAAGAGGTGTGACACAATTCTAGATGCTCCTCTCTGTCCCCAAGATGGCAGATAGCTCAGCAAATTCTGCCAGCTAGACCGAGTTTCTGTTATCTGTGGTTTATGACTAATCACTGTGCATCAAGGCACATTGTAGTCAGGTAGTGATAGACAACAGCTATCTCCTGTTCCTGCATACATACATGACAATGGCATAAGACCATACTGCCTTTATCTGCAAGCCATCAGTCTCTTGGTCATGCTTATCTGTCAGCCACTTACCTCCCAGAAGTCCTGCCATCTGAATTACTTTAGTCTTATAAGATACAAGGAGGAGCCATATATTTGAAGCATTTGTTTTAGGAATTAGGGTGCCCTGAAATCAAGCTGTCATTCTTTATTTTTAAAAGACACATTTCTCTGCTCCAGAGTTGGTCTGTACTTGCTTTTGCTGCAAGTTACCCATATGTGCATATGGAGAATCACTTGCAGCTAAATGAAATCTCTTTACCAGTAAAGAGAAGGTGGTTTGGGGTCTTTTCTTCCAATATGTGCTGTTCAAAAGTACATTCATATATCATGCTTCTTCCTTTTGAGAAAAAGAAATATTTAGCTCAGAATCCTGATGGGAGTATGTGGCTGAGGGGAGCTGAGGCTTGGCAAGGGCTCTGCTGCCTCCTGCACTGCATACATGACCTGTATAGTGAAAGGGGAGAGTGGAGTAGGCCCTGTTGATACCACTAAGGTGAGGAGGTCTGTGGTGTGACTGGACTTAGCCAATCCACAGTGTGAAGATACAGACAATTTGCTTTAATTTCTGCTTAGTCATAACTAACCTCTTTGTCCATGTAATCTGTACAGTATTTCTCTAGTTTGATTTTCTTGCCCCAAAGCAAAAGTAGTACTAACTTATTTAACATTAGTGGGCAGGATACCTGAAATTGAAAGATGATGAAAAACTGTTGTTTAAGGTATTTTAATATTAAGTAACACTGGTCACCTGTTTACTATTCAAAAGTATACCACATGCTTCTACCTACCTCTCCGTGTCCCTTGCTTAAGGTGAGGGCGTCTGGGTGCTTCCTCCTCTTGCCATGAGTTTTCTCATACTTGCACTACTCACCTCTGTTATGTTTCAGACTCTTTTCTGTCATTTGACTGATTAGTTAAATTTGTGATTATTTCTGCTCATATAGACATTTCACAATACAATCTTAAATGAAGATCTGTGATTCTATGTTCACATTAAAATAAGCTCTAACTTTGTAATTTGCTTAATGACCCTCTTTCCTTCACAGAAAGGCTAACCTTAATCCAAGTTTGCCAAACTCCCAATTAAAAGCAACACGAATCTATATTAAAATTGAGAATTATAAGAATGGCATGTTTAGAAACTTATTTTTAAAGTAGTAGTTAATTTTTGTAAGCTAGGGCTTAGAACACATGAAGATAGTTGTCTTGCTAATTAATTTTCTGTAATGAAGCATTGTTGTATATGTTAACATGCAGGTTCAAAGCTCAGCGGAGTCCCATTCTACCTATGATCTCTATATTCTAGTTGCAATAAGTGGTCTGAGCTACAGAAAATACAGTGTTAAACCCTTGAATGGTCAGCAGTCTGCATTTATTGGAAGATCAGTCAAGTACAAGCGAAAAGACATAACTCGTGCAGATCAACAAAGTCAACAGTTGCTTCCTGTGGTTAACAACTGCTACCAGATCTTGTTTGACCAAAACACAAATCTAATGCACAGCATTACAGAGAGGTGAGATTGCCTGCTTTTTTTTAATGTTTCAGATTCTGTAAAACCCTTTGTAAAAATAAGTCTAAGGACTGTATCATGTGCCTTAATTCTGAGACTTAACTAACAGAATGTTCTTTACAATTATACTTCTTTACCTCCAGTTCACATGTCCTCCTTTCTACAGGAAACATCAGAATTAGCCCAGGTGTGATTCCAAACTATTTCTGTAATGTTGTTGCCCTGTTTAACCATGTAGTAGGTCTAAGATGACATATCACAGTATTAATGAGTAGATCAGCAAAATCTCATTGTACTTTAGAACTTAAGAGGGTTGTGAATACGTGTTTGTGTTAAAAATTGTGATGGGTTGACCCTGGCTGGATGCCAGATGCCCACCAAAGCTCTCTCTGTCACTCCCCCTCTCCAGCTGGGCAGAGGGGAGAAAAATATAATGAAAG